CTCTCGAAAATTGGTTTAATGCCTGAGGTAGGTAATTTATGTACATAAACGACAACATTATCTTACATTCACATCCCGATAATGGCATTTTCTGTTTATATGCACTCACATGGCTATCCTTCTATAGGATTTCACTAGAAGGTATAATGTTATAATGAAAGTTTGTTAACATGATCATATGACGTAGAATTGACAAAAAGCACTGTATGGTCATGAATCAATCTTCTATGAGAGCCAATAGCAGGCATGCATATCTTGTCATGAATAAAAAGTGTTTCTTACACACAAACATTTCAACAACACTGAAGTTACCAAACAGAAACGTTGAAATGGAGTCAGAAAGTGTCTTTAACTGAAACCTAATATTACTTAGATACACAGTGAACGATAAAACTAAAACTCCAGTCTCTTCTTACTTTTTAAACAACAAAGGCTCACAGAATTAACTTTGCAGTGCACTTAAATGATTTATTGATGACTATGGTCCTGTATCCCCTTTCTCACACGCTCTGTAATATGAGCGAGGATTCCTCGTATCTGAGGGCCGACAAAGTACAGAACATAATTAAACTCCATCCAAATGAATACCTCAGCTTGTGATCTTTAAGGGACACCAAGAGTAACTCAAGAGAGATCGCACATACACCACATGTCAACCTTTATCAATGAAATGCCAGTGAGACGAACAATGCACTTTAAGTTAATTACTTACGGCTTTGTCCTTTCTTTGGTCGGAGTTGGTAAAACTAATTTGACAGTCGTCAGATCATCATATCTTAATAAATTTGACAGTAAGTCAGGCTGTCTGTTCTTATCTGCCTGGTATTTTTATTATATTACAACAAAAATGGGAGCTCAAGTTTGTTTGTTTGTTTGCAAGCGTGTCATGTAACTTGAGTTTGAAAGCTGACACTGGCAGTTTCCCACCATTGCACAACCTATTTGCTCATATTTATGTGTCACGTTGCAGAGATCAAATGCAGCCTTGTTTCAGATTTATATAACCAAGCCCAGGGAAATCTGGAAAAAAAGTATAATAGTCTCTTCCAGAGGCGTCATGCCCATTCAAAGTGAGGGCACGTCATGCCCCCTCAGATTTTTGAGCCAAGTGGATTTTGAATGCAGCTTCCAAAAGACAAAAATATATATGAATAAATATTAATATAATTAATATTTTCTATATTTAATACAACCACACCGGCGTGATTATAACGGTCAGTGCGTCATATCAGCTGTTAAATTCGGCTGGTGCTAACCAATCACACACGATGCTGTTGAGCTTATGAATGCAATGACCGATTAGCCCAACTTGCAATGTTTTTATTTTTTACATCCATATCTGTTAACTAAGTAAACAGTCAGGTTTTTATGCATAGTTAATAGATCACATTATTAGGTTACTTTGACCATCGCCCATTGTAGATCAACATAATCTAGGTGAGAGTCAAGATATTTCATGATATAGTTAATGCGTTTGGGGATGTTTCGAATAAAAAGGAAAATATAAATAAAACAAGTGCTGTTGTGGCTGCTGTGTGTCACATGACGACCCCCCCCCCCCCCCCCCCCCCGCCCCCCCCCCACAAAACACCGGCTCACTCCTGACAGCGTCACCATGACAACCCCTCACTCCTGATCCTGTCACTGACACTATGACACTCTTGACAGTGTCACCATGATGACTCCTCACTCTCAGCATCACCATGACAACCCCTTACTCCTGACAGCATCACTGTAACCACCCATTACTCCTGACAATCAGAGGCGTTCAGATGAGTCATCGCTAAAATGCCTGTGTTTTCTTCACTCTTTCTGGCGAATTTTCTCTCGTCAGAAACAACAAAGTGCAAATGCGTACGAATCTGTAAGATATTAATTTCATAGTGTAAACAGCTTCAGTGATTTTAATCATGACGCCCCAGGTCTCTTCCTCTACTAGTGTTTACTGTAAAAATGAATGTCAATGTAATGAAAATATATATATATATTCTCCTTTGTAATATGTCCTCTGGAGTAACCAATACCATGGGTAAAGTGTAATGAGATCCAGTGTTAATGCGTTCTGATAGGAAGGTGAGGGTACATGTCAATAAATGTTAAGATCTGCATTCTTGATGAATGAGCTAATGCAAAATTGTATTGGATTCTTCTTCATTAAATTGTCTCCCAGACTCCAACTCATTAATCTGTTCCATTTCAGATAAGATTATTTTTTTTCTGTGACTTTTTTTCTTCTTCAAGGCCTGGATCAAAAACAAAACCCAAAGTAGTCTGTGCATCGTTCATTAGGGTGGCCCTTATTGGGGGGTACAATTTTTTATTGGAAATGTTAACCTCTCAACCCCTCATTTGTTTCTCCACCTGAAGTATACTGTATGCAAAATACCATCCAGATAAATTATCAGTTAGGGTATGCTCAAAGAATGTATCTTTTTATCAACACGTATACTTCAAGATCTGATTGGTAATATTAACAAAGATTTTGTTCACTGATCAACTTTTGACTGTTTCTGATATCAGATGACTTTCTAACCATTAGGCAACAACTGCCCCTTTGTTTCTCCACTTATCCAAGAGTACAATGGAATCCTCTCAAAGACTGAAGAACAAATGTAGCTCATTATGCAGATTGCCAAGAGAGCACCGAAATCTGTTTCCAGGTCCCCGCAAAAGTACTGTGGTTGAAAGACTTGTCGGATCATCAAAAATATCTAAATCAGATCAGATATTCATTATAAATGAAATCAGAATTTAATTTTTTAACATTCTGCTTCTACATCTGCAAGAACTTTGCTGCTGAAAGACATGTCGGATTGTCATCACGATCTAGATCAGATCGCAATTCTTCAAAGATCAGTTCTCATAGCAGAGTTGTAATGTAACTTTTTTTTAAAGATTTTATTTTTGGTGTTTTATGCCTCTATTTCGATAGGACAGTAAGGCTGAAGTGCAACGGCGCTACATGACGGTCTAACAACACTGTTCTGTGTTCTCGTTTTTAACCCAATTCACAGTTTACCAATGGCCTTTGTATAATTATTAATTATGTGCTGTTATGGTCATTAAGACATTAATTTGTTGAGCACACCCCAAACGTAGTCCAATCTCTGCAAAATTTGGTTTGTTTCCATTTCTCATGAAGGGGAGTTGACTGCGCAGGTGAGAGCAGAAGTTTTCAAAAGTCCAAAAATAAGGGCCACCCTAATCATTCATGTTATGCTTTCAAAAGTTCAGTCAAATGCAATCGTTAGCACACAAACTATATTAATAGTGGTGTTTCATGACGGCACACTGTTGGAATTTCAAGGAATTTATAATCACTCAAAAGATGAGAGGAAAAAAGTTACAGAAGCACAGTAAGAGTGGTCTAAGGAGTGACATGTTCAGTACTCTAACTCTAACTTCTTATCTCTCTTTTTTTAAATAGAGTTTTATGTTAGTCCAAAATATTGCTCTATTGCTATATTACTCTGCCACATCTTCATATGGATCCCAACATTAGGAAAGAGAGGCTCATGTTTTAAAGTGTTCTTGATAACATCAGTTCGAACTTAACAGTTCAAATGTTGCAGATTGTTTTGACACAATGTAATGAATGTTTTGCAAAAAGACTTATTAAAGAATTGAACCCACAACCCATAAGTAAAAGACATTTACATTTAAGTTTTAAGGATATAGTGGCACAAAGCATAGAGAGGCTGTGGAAAAAGTAAATTATCACTGGTTTTTGGTGCAAGACACCTTGACCTTAAATGGACTTCAGTGAGAAAATATTGCAAATATATGATATAGCCCGTTTAACTTGTAACACACTAGAATGTATAGCTTTGACATGTCTGAAAAGAAGTGTGTATGAGAGAGATAAACCTGCAACTATTCAGTGTGGTTTATTTAAAGAGGCTGGCACTGACAGGCATCCTCCAATGCAAAGCTAATGCATGGTGCTGAGCCACAGTCCACAGCCACAGAGTGTTTGGACCACATTACTCTATGACGAATACATTTGGCTGTATGTGCAAATGGACAGCTGCATGGTCTAAAAGGTTGTTTTTAAGGGGCAGTTTATTATTGCTGCTCAGATGCTTTTTGCAGCTCTGTCCAACAGTTGGAAAACTCCTACATTTAGATAACAGAATGCAAAGGCACGCTTTTTTCTTTAGAATAAAATGCACTGATGAGCTGCTGACAATACCACCAACAATATATTTATAATAAACATGACCACTTCTCATACATTTTCATAGTAAGCGCACATGCATGATACATGACTGACTTATTAGGGCTGGGCAATGATGCAGAAAAATAAAAAATAATAAATCTCAATATTGCCTCTTGGAGGGGGGGCGCTATCACCATATATATGTCTCAGTAGCTCTAAGGTTTAAAGTCAAAAGCCCAATTAGACACTCTCAAAAATGGTCAACATGTGTTTAATGAACTGCATATTTTGTCCAATAACAGTGGAAATGCCAAGTGCTTGTGTTTGATGTGCACTTGACAACATACCTGTATATTACATTAATACTTTGACTTGTGATTCTAAAGACTTTTTGTCCAAAGGGACTTAGAGTTCGCCTGTTACAGAAACAGCCATAAAGCAGCGTCGGGCGAGATGTTTTGCTTAAGGGCATTACGAATAGTTTAAGGATCGCCTTTAGTTTGAACCTCCAAGTTTCATCCCAGGTCTTTAACCAATATTCCACGCACCGAAACGAAATTTTCCCCACGACGCTTGATTAAACTATGTAAATGTGTCGATTTCGGTGTAAATAAAGCATGAATTTCCAAAAATAATGAATGAACACATGCATAAATAATCGCAAGGGAATGCGAAAGAAGCAACTCGACCCAAATTCCGAGCCGATTTCGTTGTCTTCCACAACGGGGCAGCGTAACAGCGATCTACAGCATCACCCATCCATGGGCATTTGAGAAGAACTTAACTTGCTGTCGGATGTCACATACCAACAATCTGATGTAGACAGAAAGCTATAAAAGTGCGGACACATGTCCGCGCTCAGACCATGAAGGCGTGCGCTCCATCAAGGACCATGATATGATAACAGCCCTACATTTTACGCACGCTTACGCAAACGCAATAACAGCCACACATGGTTTTTCCACTGGAGTCAAATCCTATGATTTATGGCGAGGATTACTAAGGTGAAGATAAAATGAAAATAAATGGCAGCCGCTTGATGAACACTTCTTCACTGAGCCCTCACGAGATCACTCTGAATCGCCCACCCTGGGTCGCCACAACTTTGGGCAGCTTTCTGATCTTTACTATCGTGGTTGATATATTGGGGAACCTCTTGGTGATCTTCTCTGTGTACAGAAACAAGAAACTTCGAAACGCAGGTAAGATCGCTTTTAAACCAAATATGGCAAGCCGTTAAACATTTAATCGTTTAAACTACGGATCTTTTGATGTATGGATCGTTTAATGTCATATCCAAATGTTTTAATTGCTAGCAAATAATACGTTTCACCTGTATTCATTCAGTACTAATACTACAAATAGTGACTAAAATTTAATTAGTCACCAGTACACAGACAAGTGACTGTTCCATTGTTACTGGAAACAAATTTAACATTTTTGCCATTTCTTGCTATGAATTCTATATATGGTCCAGATTTACCTTTACTAGTACTTTACTTATTCGTTGTATTTAATATGTCTGAAACCATCTATTTAATTTGTAGAAACATTTTTATCTCACTAGTTGTTTTTTACTGGAGTAATGAGAATTGCAACTTTATAGTTCATGACAACCTTACTGGTCAGATTTTGAAACAAAAACTTCCTATCTTAATTTCTGACTTAAGATAAAGTTCTATTTCTCAAGTAAAATTACAATGGTGACTAAACAGATAAGATAGAATTTTAAGTTAAATCGTTTCTGTAATACATTCCCAGGATCCCAGCTAATGGGAGTGCTTAAATTACAGGATATTAAATATTGACAGAAATACATACTGTTTAACAGTCAGTGTACACTGTATTGTAGTATACAGTGAGTTTTAAGAGTTCATAAATTAATTAGGATATTTTACAGCATTCTGCATAAACTTGATTCTTACTCAGTGTAATTTCATGTTTTCTGTCACTCCTGACGGTATTGTACAGAATCATAGTGGAAAGTAAGGAACTATTTTTAGCGGTTTCAGGTAACTGGCCCACTATCAAGCAAAACTGAACAGGCCAGTCATTTTCCTGTGAGTGGATGGAGTGCTTATCACCGGTGTCACACTGACCCATATGTCACTTTTCTCTGCCAATAGAGTCCAGAGACCTTATGTTGTTCCTCAACTGTGAAGTTTGTGGCACCAGTTTGAACTGTGTACTTGTCAGACATTTCAAATAAGTTAATTATTTATTTATGTATTTACTTGTTCTGTAGTGTTTCCTCCTCTACTCAGTATAGTGCACAATGTTCTTTGATTAGTGGGTCAAATTAACCCAGTAATTGTCCCATTAGCCTCCCACGATGTGTGCTTCATTATGTTTCTCACTAGTGAGAGGACCTCCCATGACCCATTGTAAAGACCACTGACCCAGTGTGAATATTCAATTAGCAATCATTCCACCACATATCCAAAGTTATAGTTACTCAGAAAACATGAATATAAGCACGGTCACACGAGCACGAACATTTGCTCTTCATTGTTCTTCTGTGGTGAAACAAGGTGGATCCTCTCCTCCCCATTGCTGTCTATGTGTTTTATTTAAGATACTCAACCTTAAAGACTCTATGTGCTGTGGCACCACTGTCTGTTTAGATTATTCAGACCAACCATTCCCTGCTGTTAGGTAATCCTCATTTCAACACAGCCAGTGTACCTACATCATAAAATTACAAATGAACCCCACCTGAGAGCTAGCATTGATATGCTGGACTATATGCATCTTATAACTTGGGACCAGCTGTATATTTCAAGATAAAGGCAATCAATTTGTGCGCTTCCTGAGAATGAAACCTTTGTGTTGTGAGCATCATCGACTACCAGCTGATCTACAGGAACTCCATAAGGGTGTTTGGTTCCCTTTTTACGTTTCTCAACATCTCAGACATTGTAATGGAGCCTGTCTTCTCTTTGCGGCTCTCATCTCTAACTACTGTTCTTTAGTTGCTCTGAAGTCGCTTATGAGCCCAAGGCGGTCTTATTAGATGAAGTTCACTGGTCATTCAAGAGGAACTCTTCTCTACCAATTATTCACAGAGCTTGTGTGAGTGGAAGAAGGGCCCTTTCAGCAGGCTCGGGTACTGAACATGGGTGGAATGAGGACAGAATCTTTCCAGAGAATAAAGTGATTATTTACAGTAATTTCAAATAACAGCATCTACAATTCTTGTTCAAAGTGTATTCCTTAGGATATAAAATAATACTACTGATGATTTAAAAGCTATTGTTCAGGTTTAACTGAACAATAATGATGCAATTGTTGAAAATGTACTGTCACACATCTGAATGTCCTTTAAATGACAAGACAATTACATATACATACAAAAATGTTTTTTTAGGTGAAATTAATATACTAGCTGTCACAACATCACATTGTTTGGACTTTGTTTGCACAGTTTTCTAGTTAGTTGTCATGGTTCCTGATTTGAGTTCTTCATTATGTTCAGGTGTGTCTTGTTAATTATTCTAGTTTGGTCTGTGTATTTAAGTTCCTGTCTGTTCAGCTTTATGCCGAGTTCATACTGCACGATTTTAGCCCGATTTTTCACTCGCCGACAGGTTTTGCGAAGTCGCCGACAAATGCCCGAAATCAGAGGCAAATCGGTGCTCGTTCACGCGAGTGACAGTCACGTAGTGTGAATTATCAAAAGACGCGATCTGAGGGAATCACCGACTCGTTGCCAACGCCCGCGAAATACTTGGCATGCTAAATATCTGGAGCTGTTGGCGATTCACAATCACGCTGTGTGAAATGAGTTCTGACTGAAAAACACATCGGCGATGACCTACAGCCAATGAGAGACCAAGATACAGGGCAGCGGGAAGTTCGGGGAGGAGTTATATGAAACGTAGTTTGCGGACCAGTGTTGCCAAATCTGCGATGCCGCGGTTGTTTTTTATGTCAGCAGGTTGAAGCAACCCCAATAACGTGATATTTAGGCCCTTGAATATGAATTGTACCAGGAGAACCCTGCCAAAAAAAATTGTATTTTACCCCCGGAGCACGATTTTTGCCGCGGTTGTTTTTTATGTCAGCAGGTTGAAGCAACCCCAATAACGTGATATTTAGGCCCTTGAATATGAATTGTACCAGGAGAACCCTGCCAAAAAAAATTGTATTTTACCCCCGGAGCACGATTTTTACTGGGGGACCCCCTCAAAAGCAATTGGGCTATTTTCAGGCTAGTTTTGAGTAGTAATTGGGCGGGTTTTGTAGCAAAAACCTGCTAACCCTGCACCAGACAGACCTGTCAGCGATTCTTCCTATTGTGAACTCATGCAATGTGAAACCCCCTGTCGCCGATCCATCGTGCAATGTGAACACGGCAACAACTGAATGCTACCCCAGATAGTCACGCAGTGTGAAAACAACGGCGATCCAACGAGTTTGAAAATCGTGCAGTGTTAACTTGGCATTATTTGGCCGGGTATCGTCAATGTTATGTGTGTTTCCTGCTTTTTCTTGCTTGGATTTACCTATATGTAGATTTAAGATTTATTAAAGACTGCTTATCGTCATCTTCGTCTTTGCGTGTGTTCATCGACACAGTTACGTGACACTGAGTCCCAAAGATAACCTATTTTGCAGGGTCATATAACCTTGTTTTGCCTTGCAGTTTTGTTGTTATACTGCATTGCCCCGTGGGAAACTCCCTAATGTTTCGCCTTTTGCAATGAAGCTTTATTTATTCTCGAGGAGTTCATGTCCTCACTTCTGCCTGACTTGGCCCTCGGCCTGCCCCTGGGCTGGTTTCGTTGCCTTAATGAATGGGCAATTGCTGCGCTCAGTTACAGACTGACTCACTTTTGAAGATACACTCTTGGCTCATCCACTGTTAAACACAGCCAGAAATGCCTGGTCCACCACTTTGTCATACATTTCAATCTAGGGTCTGAGTCAAATGTCACAGTGTAATTGTCTGTGGCCATACTACTACAATTTTTATTCATTTATTTTTTTTAAGTGTGGACATAATTTTTTTTTTCTGCTGCTTATATGACTACTTTTACAAAATACTGTTTCTTTGTCTTCTCTGATTAGATAAAAGTTAAAGTTGCTCAAGTTGGTACAGCACTGAGCTAGGAAGGTTTAATTTTCAGGTTCAGTTCCCAGGGAACACATGATAATATGTAAAACTGTGAATGCACTGTAAGTCACTTTAGATAAAAGTGTCTGCCAAATGCTTAAATGTAAAAAAAATAAAATAAATTACAATACTCCAAATATTTAAGTATCAGCAGCACTGCTGCTATACTTGTTTATTGGGCTTTTTTTTCATGAAGTTGCCAAGCCATTTCTGTTGCTACAGTAGATAATTGGTTAAGCTCTGAGGAAACACATGAACTGATAGGATAAAAGCCACATGTATAATTTTGTAAATATGGGCAGCTGTGGGTGGAATTTATTTCAATTTTTAAAATACTTTTTTTGTGAGGCCAGCTTACTTATTTTTTATATACCTACTTGAGAGTCAAACAAAATGTCAGTGTGTAGTGTTTACCCAAAATGAACATAATTTACATAGAAATATGCTTTAGCAGACAAGCAGTACTCTCACTCAAGCATACTAATGCTCAGTCTGCTGCTTTTGACTTTGAATTGGTTTGTTCAGTATTTTTTGTTCAGACTTCATATCAAATGTCATATCTCCCCCTGATTGAGCTCCATAATGGTCTTAGAGATGAAGTTAGGAATGTTATTCATGAATAAAGGTTGCTGTGGCTCTGTAATTTTCGTTGAGGTATAGATAAATTAATTTCAGTTTGTTTTTTCCTGTCAACTGTTTTTCCTAGAAGTAAATTTGGTTATTTTCCATTTTTACCTCATTAAGTAGTTTCCATGCCTCAGAACTGGACACATTGTACTGTACTGATCCTTCAATATAATCTGTGCACAAATGTGAGCTAAATAGGACCTGCTAAAAACTTTCTCTTGCAAGTCTCTTGCCACTCTGCTTGTCTTTAGTTGAATTAAGCAGAAGGACATGAGTGATGAGTTATGTTTGACAAGACTCTAGTATCATTTGAAACAGCCCACCAGGATCCCAAAGCAATAAAATATTGATTTAAGCATAATATTTCTGTGTTTGGAGCTTCTCTTTAGTGCTGTATTTACACTCAGTAGGGGTGACAAAATAATATCAAAGTTTATTTTGCAAAGGCTGCAATTAAAA